GAAATGACGTAGGGGCTTGAGAGTGGATGGGGCCTGACAGAGGACGCGTGCTCTCAGGCCCCTCCTGCAGCCAGACCCTTCTCGAGTCATCTCAGACTTACCTGAACATGCAACACAGCAAAGAAAAAACACCTGCTGACAAACAGAAATCCCACTCATGGTGCTCAAACAGTAAGACACACGAAGTGGATTACTAAGTGGATTATTTCCCCTTAGTAATTATTTCATTATTTCACATTATTTTAGGATTTCAATCCTAAATTCCTTTTTTTTTTTTTTAGACTCCCTATAGACTCGGATGGATTCTCCTCAGATGACGTCTGTTTCTCCTGAACGTGATACCACTGGGAGTTTGCACATCATATGCACGTGGTTCCACTCGTTTGTTAAGGACTGTGCCTGGTACCCATCCGCGCTGTGTGGCCATGTGCACTGTGGTACCAGGAGCAAATTCAGGCAAAGGTCTTGAGTTGTGGTCATAGTAGTGCTCTTGTCTGGGTTGTAGATGTTTCAGCCTGGAGTAAAATTCATCTACTGGGATGGAAGGTTGTAACACAGCTGTAGAGCTCTGCAAGGTGCTTCATAGTACTCTTCCCATGAGAACTTGTGCTGGTGAGAACTCTGTACCAGTCACCGGTGTGTTTCTGAGCGACAGGAGAGTTATGTGTGGGTCTGTACCTGTCTGTGTTCCCTTCTTCAGCACGTGCTTCACGATCTTCACCATCCTTTCTGGAAGGCCATTTGATTATGGATATCTAGGGCTGGAGTGGACAAGCCTAATCCCTTATGAAGCTGCAAACTGTGTCATTTCTCTGCTCACAAATGGAACATGGTCACTCACCATCTCCTTTGGAATCCTGTGTCTGCCGAAAACTGCTTTCATCTTGTGTATGACTGTGTGGGCAGTCTTGGGCAGATGGAGCACCTCTGGATATTTTGACAAATAATCCACCATCACAAGGTACGACTGTCCAAGAAGCTCAGAGATGTCAACCTTGATCTTTAGCCATGGTAGTTCAGGTATCTCATGCGGAATAAAAGGCTCTTTGTGGTTCTGTGGCTGGAGCTGTTGACATGGGGTGCAGCTTTCCACAATGTGCTCAATGTCATGCGTCATCCCTGGCGAGTACATCACTTTTCTGGCCTGCGCTTTCATCCGCTGTATCCCTTGATGTGCCAGGTGCAGTCTGTCAAGCATCGTCTGCCTCGCGCTCTGAGGAATTACTGATGCTGATAGAACTTCGCATCGGCCAGATCAGATACGATACCAGCCGATACTGCGCCATCTTTTAGGCCAGCCTTTGTGGAGCATTTCCATTACACGCTGTAGGACATTATCGATAGCTGTGGTATCTTTCAGTGTTTGGAGAGTGTCCATGTCCAATGCTGTGGTGGCCTCCATCACGTGGACCACTCTCTCCTCAAACAGATCCTCTTCCGCATCACCCTTGAGTCAGTGACAACAGCTCGGGACAGGGTATCTGCTACGTGCATGTTCTTGCCCGAAGTGTACTTTATCTGCAGATCATAGCGTTGGAGCTGCAGTAACATGCGCTGCAGGCATGCTGGTGCTTTGCTCAGGTGCTTCTTGAAAATAATTTCAAACAGTTTGTGATCTGACTGGACAGTCACTGCGTTGCCGTAAAAGTAGTAGAGGAAGCGTTTTGTTGCAAAAGCTATCAGCAGCAGCTCTTTCTCTATCTGAGCATAATTCTTCTCAGACTGTAAGCGCACGTGAGGCATAGGACAGGCACCCAGTCCATCTTTTGATGCATCACACTGTATGGTAAGTGGCTTGGTCTGATCATAGAACCGGAGCACTGGGGCCTGTGTGAGGATTGACTTTAGCTTGTCTAGTGCAACACTGTGTTCATGGTTCCAGTGCCAAGCAGCGTCCTTTTTCAACAACTGCCGGAACGGGCCTGTTATTGTGGCTTCGTTTGGGATGTACTGGGATAAATACCTCGTCATTCCCAGTAATCTCTGGAGCCCTTTCTTGTCCTTGGGTTGTGGCATGTTCTTAATGGCCAGCACTTTGGACTCGTCAGGTTTCACGCCTTCAGACGTGATGACATGCCCTATGTATCTGACTATGTCCACCTTGTATTGGATTTTGTTGAACTTGATGTTGGCCTTTATTGCAGTGTCCTGTGTTTCTGTAGGATAGCATCATGCTTTTCCTCAGATGCAGCAGCTATTATCATGTCATATGCAATAAAATGCACTCCATCAATATTTCCAAATGTCTCACAATTTTTCTGTTGAAACACCTCACTTGCTGACTTCACGCCGAAAGGAGGTCTCTTAAAGCGATACCTGCCCCACAATGTGCTGAATGTGCCCAACATTGATGAGGGTTTATCAAATCTAACTCACCGATATCCATCCTTCTCATCTAAGATGGTGAAGATAGATTTCTCAGACTACTTAGATAGATAGATAGATAGATAGATAGATAGATAGATAGATAGATAGAAGATAGAATCTTTATTGTCATTGTAGCAATGAGACATTGTACAACGAAATTAAAGCGCAATTCTCCAGTGCAAAATAAAAACAGTCACTCTGAAAGAGCCTGAACGCTACTTTCTTTCGTACCTACAAACAAACAGTTACAAACAAACTACGTATTG